TCTGCAGGACACAGGCCCTCCAGGACCGAGTTTGGAGACCCCTGCTCTGACCTAGACAGACGTTTGTAAAATAGTACTCCCGTAACTACAACTTCAAAATAATCATTTTACCATCCATGTACCTGAATCGCGTTTCAGAGTGCGCTGCATCTGTTGTTTAGCGGCCACTCTCTTCCGGGCTGCCTGCTCCAGTCTCAGCTCACGCGTCCGGCTCAGCTGGAAACGGAAGAACTTCCAGAGCAGCCATGATTGAGTGAAACACACCACGAACAACACCAGCAGCCTGCGCGTCAAACACACACAGCGTTATTCTCATGTCCGGGTCTCACATGAAGTACTACTATAAAAAAACAAAACAAGTGTGAACATCTGTCTCACCTTACAGAAAGAGTGTTGAAGTTTCCTGCCTCCAAATCAAGTGTCTGGTTTTCCGAACGAGCCAAACCGAAGCCCACAGCCAGGAACATCAGAGTCAGAGTGATCATACGGGTCAGGACGAACCCGATGGACCACATCTCAAACCTACAAATACAATACAAGCACGTTTGCTGTTATTCAGAGATATTTTGATATACACCATGTCAAAAGATTGGGGTCGGATTATGTTTTTGAAAGTGTCTACTGCTCACCAAGGCTGCATTTATTTGATAAAAAATGCTGTAAAAACTGTAATATTGTGAAATATTATTACAGTTTAAAATAACTTATTTATTTGAGAATGTTTTGAAATGTAATTTATTCTGGTGATCAAAGCTGAATTTTCAGCATCATTACTCCAGTCTTCAGTGTCACATGATCCTGCAGAACTCAAAAATATTATTATTATTATTATTGTTGTGTTGAAAACAATTGCGCTGCTTAGAATTTTTGTGGAAACCATGATATATTTTTTTCAGGATTCTTTGATTAATAGAAAGTTCAAAAGAACAGCATTTATTTGAAGTATTCTGTAACATTATAAATGTATTTACTGTCACTTTTCATCAATTGCATCCTTGCTGAATTTCTCTTTAAAAAAACAAGTGCATGTGTGAAAGTAAGTGTGCCTTACATTTTGTGGTGGTTCTCATCAATAAAGTAAAACAGTCGAGACAGATGGAAACCCATCTCAGAAAGATACTGCAGAAACAACAACACCAGCCCGACCCGCGTCAAGCTAAAGAGAGATGAAAAATACGTTAAATCATTCGTTTATTATATCTGATATTATAACCCAAATAGTATTTTAATTAAAAAACTGTTAAAGTGTGTATATGTATATGTATATATATATATATATA